ACTGTCCTCATGAGTTCCCCAGGGAAATTCCAAGGGGAAGAGACCAGGGATAAAGAGCTTTTTGTATTTCTCTGGGGTTTAACTGCTAAAGCAATTTTTGTTCCATTAGGTTTGTAATGCGAGATCTTTCAGAGTAAATTTACACAACAGCCTCTGCATTTATTAATTCATCACAACTTAGTCTTTACTCATCTAAAAACTAATCACATCTACTTTTGTCCTGTACTGAGAACTGTTAAATATAGAAGTCTGTCAGGCTCACAGAGCCCATTTGATTAGCATAACACATATATAATATCTAGTTATCAGCTGATCCTTCCTGGGTTCTACTCAGATTCAGTCCAGCACCAAACTAATCTGCTAGACACAGGTAGCTAAGCACAATCTGAAATGGCCCCTGAGGGGATCTAGCCACTGGCTACTGGGTAAAGAGAGTCTGAACAGTCTCCAGGAATGAAAAAAGCCTTGAGATACCATCCAGCTGTTTACCAAAGCATCTGAGATTGCTTATCAATTCCTTTCCTGTTACCCTTTTCCCATTCACAGAATGGGAAAAGTGTGCTGCAGTGGCAGGTAGATCAATTGGAAATCTGCTTTGCTGCAAGAAATGAAACTGGCTGAACTCAGCCCTGCTACCCTCCAAGTTGTCTCCACATTCTGAAAGGACAGAGAAGCGAACCACACCACCGCTTTGCAGAACAGTGCAGTTAGCAGATCAGTGCGCCCAGGGTGAGAGTGTAAGCTGCACCCCAAATGAAGAGGCGTCCAAATGGGAAAGTGAGTTTCATTTCAGTATTTCATGGGATCCCAAGTTCTCAGATCAGGGATTTGTCCTTTCAAGTCAGCAGACGGGGCAACATTGACAGTGAACTAGGCAGAGGGAAGGGAGCGAGTGGGAATCGATAGCAGTTCATTTTTCAGTTTTAATTGTGATCCTCCACAGAGCAAACTAAATTAACTCTGCAGAAAAATTGAATGGTTCTTCACTAGCGAGCCACCTTTGTCTCCCCAAGAAAAAGAATTCCTAAAGTTCCAAAAAACCAGTTGTGGTACAGTTGATTACATCTTTCCAGGAGCACCAAGGGGACAGTAACTGATAGTGGCATTTGGTCAGAATGCACCCATTAGACAAAAGCCATCAAGGACTCCAGATACAGATGTTGTCACCTCACTGTGAAGACAAGCCACACGGAGCTGAAAGTCTAAGGAAACTTCACTCTGTCCGGTACAGCGGTACCGTGTTTGTTCTGCAATTTTGGAAAAGACGACCACATTTATGTTTGTGCAGGAAAGATGGCCACTGTGGTGTTTGTCACCCGATTCAGAGTTTGCAAACAAAAACAAAATATTGCCAAACAATTGCTTGCAGACAAAAGTGCTCACGAATCGGGTCCCACTGTGCCAAAACATGAAATAAGAACATGCATCTAAACTATTCTTATCAGTAACCATTCGGATTATTCCAAAAATCATTCCAAAAGGAAACAACTGCAAACCAACATATTAAGGAGACACAAGAAAGCACATGTGGAAGCAGTAAACTTAATTAAAAATGCTAAATGCAGTCTGCCACCAATGGAGGGCCTACAGATCTCCAATATGCAAAACTTGAAATATTAAAAAGTGAAGTAAGAAGAGCCACTGTATAAAGATGAGCACAGTCTCAAATTTTAAGAACTATTCACCTGATATTGTTTTAAAGTTTTAGTTTGATTTTATATTTGGGTTTTGTTTCAGTTTGAGTTTTACCGTTTAGATAAAACCTAGAGCCTCACACAGCAAGGCAAGCAATCCACCAGAGCCACATCCCCAGCCAGTCTGAGACCAGTGAGCACCAACAGAAACACCAACAATACCTTTTTTTTTTTTTTTTTTTTTTTTGGTGCTGGAGAGTGGACACAAAGCCTTGCATACAGTACCTCTTCACAATAACCCTCGACCTATAAAGCTTATAATCACTGCCCCCACTTAACAGGCAACAAAACCCAAGCACTCACAGGGCTCACAGTTGGCCTAGGTTTGATTCACCCGCTTTGGAGGTTTAGTTATTCTGGCTGAGGCACAGAAGACCAGTTGAGGTCCCAAGAAAAAAAAAAAAAAAAAAAGGCTGTCCAGGCCCCAGAGAGGCCAGCCCTCGAGTCAGGATACGAGACGCAGCTGCTTTCAAGCTTTCAGCCTATAATCAACACAGATTGAACCCAGATTTGCCAGCGCTTCAGAGGAGAGCTTTGAGATTTTCTAAAGCAGACATGTTTGGTATTTCAGGTCAACCCCCCTATGGTGCAGTGTTTTTAATAAAATCAGTTCAGCAGAAATTAGAGACACACAGTCAATTTCTAGGAAGGCTCTGAGCCATTCAAAGTAAGGGGAGGGGCCTGCATAAAAGACATCACCAAGCGGATGATTTTTTTAAAGGGATAAGGAGTGTAGATGCAGAAATAGCATGGCATGTTTAGTCCCATTTGTCTCTAGTTTGGGCAAATTTCCACTTAGAACGGAAATTGAGGGTGTTCCTGGTTAGCCCAGCCTTGCACTAGCACCTCAGAATTGTACAACCACACAGAAAAATAAAGCAGTCATCACTGTCATTCCTGATAAGGAGCCCTACCTCCTGCTGGGTGACTTTGAAGTCTCACAGGGGAGCAGAGGTCAGGTCTCCATGCAGCTTTTAGTAAAACTCAAAGTAGAGAAAACTCCCAAATTTTCAGCAAAAGGAAAACAAGTACAAGTACTAAATGAAGGCTATCTGACAGGAGAGGATTTGTTTTAGGAAGACTGAGCTGGTCTATTAGGCGGCTCATAGTCTGAGAGGCTCCAGCCCAGAAGGCAGAAGCTAACCAGCCTCAGGTGGACAGGAGAAGGAATAAGGTGGACAGCGACTAACGGTCACTAAAGGTCCGGTCACTCTCTGCCCCCACCGTTCCATTTCAGACAACCCCAGCCCAGACCCAAGACTTTGCTGTAAGATGTGGGTTCCTGATTTCAAACTGCTTCTGGGCATATACCTTTAAACCTTGCATTATTTCCTAAGGAACTGCCAAGCTGAGAGACAATCTGGTCTCAGGTAGCTGATATTCGGGAAGGCCACCTAAGGAGTTGTGGCCCTAGCCGATGTGCACTCGGTCTGATTTGCTCTGGAGCCACAGGGGAAGGGAAGGTGGGAATTTCACCACTGCCATTTGATCAATTCTCTAACCAAGCTTGGAAGGTTAGGTTCAACAACTGTTTAACTCCCTCAAAAGCTGACACACTTGCGGAGGACGATGGTATAGCTACAAGGTAGAACATGTGGCTAGCATGCCCGTAACATGCTTAGCCTGTCCTTAGCCTGTTGGGGGGGGCTCACCAACTCCAAAAAAGACAAAATACCTTTCATAAAGTATGCATGTTCACAAAGCACAATACGAATTGCCATTTATTAAAATGTGCATCTATTCCACTTCCTAATTTGGAACAGTGGTCTATTACTATTGAAATAATGTAGATTCTCATTTTTGCACTGGGCATTTCAATTCAAGATTCTCTCATGAACTTGGTTAGATACCCGTCTTCTCATGGAACCCAACTTACGCTTAACGTAAAAGTCTGGTGAAAGTATGCAGAAATGTCTTTAAGATTAATACAAGAAAACTTCATCCTCAAATATGTGGTTTTTGTTGTTGTTGTTTTTGCTTGTTTTGTTTTGTAGTACTAGGGATCAAACTCAAGAGCTCGTGCTTGAGTCAGATGCAGCACCACTGAGCTAAATCCCCTATCCAGCTATTATGCTAATTTTTAGGTAAAAATTTCAAATTTACCAAAGAATTGAAAAACAAAACCCACCATGGCAAATTACTCTCACATTTAAGATAACAAAGATCCATTGTGCCCAAGGATTTAGCTCAGTGGTTCCACTGCCTGTCTTCACAAGCACAAGGTCCTGAGTTCGATCCCCGGTACTAAAAAAAGAAAGATCCACTGGGGTAGGGGGGTGGGGGGTACCCAAATATGGAATAGGTTTAAGCTCAGCTAGGCCACATTACCAAATAGAAATGCCTATCCTCCTTACCTGTATCAGTGACTGGCTAAAGTCCATATTCTATTTGGTTATATTAATAAGTGGGTCATTTGAGGGTAAGAAACCTAGTAGCACTGTTATTTAAATCCAAATTAGCATATGATGTTCACTACTTAAAATCTCTCTAAAGATTGAGAAAAGTTAGGAGGAAAAAGTCTTTAACAGTGTTGAAGAACAAAGTTTGAAAACCAGGAACATTGCCAGTAAAGTTTGGCTTACTTCAGTCAAAATACTTCATTGGAAAGCCAGGCATGGTGTAATACATCTATAACTCCAGCACTCTGGTAGACCGGGGTGGAAGATCGCAAGTTCAAGCCTACTGTGGGCTAATCAGTAACTTAGGGAGACCCTGTCTAAAAATTTAAAAAGGACTAGGGACAGCTTGGTGCAAAAGTCCTGGGTTCAGTCCTCAGCACTGAGGAACAAATGGTTTAGGATAATAAATTAGATAGATTGGGCTGATAAATATATATATTACCTTTGCTATGGCAACTTCAGAAAGCCGTCCATCGCCATCTGACCTAGCCTAAGTAAGCTTGGGGTTCTCAGGGCTGGAGGTGCAGTCAGCGGTAGAGCGCTACATGTACACCAAGCCCCAGGCTTAATCCCCAGCACCAAATCACACTAATTCTTAGATGAAAGGTAAAACCAGAATAACTTTACCAAAATATGTAGGCAATATCATCTACACTGGAAGAAAATCACACAAGTATAAACAAGATACTGGTCTTGTTAAAAACTGGTTAGCATGCGCTCTTCTCAACCTTCCCGCAGCTGTTTCAGGACCTAGGGACAGAACCCAGGGCCTCATGTGTGCCAGGCAGATGCTCTACCACGCCCGGCTCACCTCCCCCAACTTCGGTTTTTAATTTACGAGAGACACCACTGAATTTCAGACAAAAAATATATATATACACGTGTATATATAT